TGTGGTGGGCTAATGTCGTGGATGTGCTAACCCAAATACGTAATCCAGCCGATCATGAAGTTTCTCTACTTGACCACGTTGTGTAAACAATTCTTGACTCAAAATTTTTTTTCGACGTACAAGTGCTGAAGAAAATCGAAGGATTGCCTTTTTACTAATTACAATGCTTGCAGGCGAGATTGGTACTCACCACAGAGTACCTGCCTCTTTAACATAGCGCAGCAGGTGTTCATGTCCCAGCTCATGCGACTTATCGTCCTTTCGGAGTCGAACAAGTTCATCATGCACCTGTTAAAAGCGAAATTGGAAGCAGCATTCCAAAACCAAACATTATGTGGAGCCATCCGTCAGAACGTCGAGTTTGAGGTCAACTCCGCAACAAGGTTATAAAAGCTCTCACAGCAAGTGTCGAGCAACGCTGCTGCAATACACCGATTTGCCTGCGATGAACGCTCTTCCATTTCCCGGGTCACTCAATCGTTTAAGCAATCAACTCCACATTTGCTATTAGACTCTCGTGGAAAGCGTTGTAGGGTGGTTGAAACGATCATTGGTTACGAAGATCAATCAATTTGTCATCGTGAAAAGTCGCAATTGAACCTTTAATGCTTCTTCAGAGTTCGGTGGCGCGGCTATCCATCGAACTCGGACACGTGGGTGCTTTACCGACTGATAACTTCGACGTGGCCCGCTTCTACAAGAATCGCTTGTAGTATTGATAGAGGCATCACCACAATAACCAGAGCTGAGCTTTGCGCGGCTGTCATTTGAAGTTTTGCTGCACCGACACGGTGAAGCAAAAGCGCAATCTTGTTCTCGTTTCATGGCGAACAAAAGGTCACCAAGTGTCTAGCTAAGACGCGACCGACTATGTCAAATCATCAAGACTATTTACCCGACGCCAGGGAAAAGATCGATATTTGTAGAGCTCCTTGTCTCCATCTCAATTGAGAATTTAGACAATGTCAAATTGCTCTGCTGCTTAGGCAATGAGCGTTTTACACATTTTGCTTGTTTACTTGATCGCTTAATGACTGATCAAAAATAGCTTCAAAAGATCTGTACAAGTATTGAAGTACTTTTGGCTCAAAGGAGAAATGCTGTACTTATCCGTTACATGAACGTAATGTACGTTCTCTATGCATTGTGGGAATCTTTGATCAAGGGATTGTGTTCAATCATTCGTATGTGACATTTTTATGCCGTCACAAATATTTGGGGGGTATGTAATGCTGGTTCCTACCTTGGAATTTGTACTGGTGAAGAGATCGATATATTCATTATTTTGAAGTGGGTGGCGTAAGCCAGTCAATTCTACCGGATGTTTTTCACAAATATTGAAGATCAAGCTCTTTGAGGTTCAAACTCCGAACATCCAAGATCTTGTATAAGTACAAGCTGCGGTTCAACCGCAGCACACCATTGACTGTATAAAAAAGACACATAGAAACCTTATATTTGATTTGTAAAACCTCTAGGAGCCCCTGGGGTGTGTTGCTTGTAGCTCTCAGATACATTAAATTTTTCAATCCAGCTGTACTTTTGCCTTAGAGACCTCAAGTCGTTCTTCTTCCCTTGAGGTCGGAGGAAATGTCCTTCTCCCTCCACGTTGGGAATCGCTTTTTCGTCGCACATTGTGTTTGATGAGCTGTTGTAAACAGCACCCACCAGTTAAGAAAGCAGCGGGATCGCAGATTTGTGCATTTGAGAGGTTGAACGCAAAGAGCGCATAGGGCGTGTCTTCAATTGTAAAAGGACTGAAGCGTGTGTTGGCATGTGAGAGCGGAGGTTCCTGGTCGGGACTCAAAGAGTCGCTAAGCCCGATCTGGTCTCGAAGATTGCGCAATCTGTAAAGGCTCATTGATCAATTTGTTCTGGTGCACAGGAGGGGAATTGATTTACGAATGATATGAGGAGCGGGCACGGTTAGTGCACAGGGTGGAGTTGGTTCACAGGCGAATCGGTTGCAATCAGTTCTGAGCAGTATCTTTAATTGACAAAAAAGCCTGAGACCTATGGTAGCGGACATCTTAACTCTACAACTGTCTCAATTGGTTTTTGCAGGTTTAG